CTTTCTCCCAAAGACTCTCCTTTATATTTTTTTCAGCTCCTGAGGAGCATGATGGAAAAAGGCATTATTAATTGGGTTTCTTATACTTAGCATAGGTATAATCACCAGTTGTTCATATTACTGCTGTAGCCTCTGCTTACATGCAGAAAATAAATTGATGCAATATGTTATCCACCCATCAAAATGACTGCTGTGCCCCCCATCCTACACCGGGTCCCCAGCTCAGGGATGACTGTGGAACAAGTGGATGTGTGAAATTATAAGATCCTGATTAGAGCCATGGAGTGTGGAGACAAAAGTGACTCCATCTTGGATGCTAATCTGCTATATTCACTTCTGGTTGAACTCAGTCCCAGGAATACCTCGTGATTTTTTATTTACTGTCTTTTTTTTCTTTTTTTTTTTGAGACAGGGTCTCACTCCCATCACCCAGGATGTAGTGCAGTGGCATGATCACAGACCACTGCAGTCTCTGCCTCCCTGGATTCAGGTGATCCTCCTGCCTCAGCCTCCACAGTAGCTGGGATGACAGGTGCACCTCAGGTCACCACATCTGGCTAATTTTTGTATTTAGTAGAGACAGGGCTTCACCATATTGCCCAAGCTTGTCTCAAACTCCTGTCTAAAACAATCTGCTTGCCTTGGCCTCTTAAAAAGCTGGGATTGCAGGTGTGAGCCACTGCCCCTGGTTTATTTACTGTCTTTGGTATAAGAATATACACTCTAAATCTTGCCTTTAGATCAAAGCAACCTTGATACTATCATACAAATTACAGGCTAAGACACATACAATATTTTTCCTACGAATTACAGGCTGTGACACATACAGCATTTTTCCTTGTTCTGGAAGGTTGCCTTTAATTGTCCCTAGAAAGCTTGCACCCCCTTTCCCTGTGGTATATGAGCACTGAGCCTGGGAAGTTATGGTTCAGAGATCTGCCTGTCTTGCTGCCATCAAGACCACATTTCTGTGTGTAAGTTCTCTATTAAATTACCCTTTATTGACAAACTAGATTTGTTTGCCTCGCGCTTTCACTTCTCAACTACTCCTTCATTTGCCAGTTGCTTTGCATATATGGCCCTTTCATGAAATAGATACAGTAGTTTGAAAGTAAAAAATTGGGAAATGATATGTCACACAAACAGCAACCACAAGAACACTGAAGTAACTGTTCTAATGACAGACATGCTCGACATTAAAGAAAAAAATGCTACTAGAGGAAAGGAGGAACATTTTGTAAAGACAAAGTGATTAGTCTTTCAGAAAGATGTCGTAGTTGTAGACACCCATACAAATAAAAACAGTGTCCCAAAATGCATGAAGCGAAATCTGGAAGAAGTGAAGGGAGAAACAGATGATTGAACAGTAGTAGTTGGAGCCTTCAATGCAGCACTTTTAGTAATGAACAGAAAACTTAGAAGATCAGCAAGAAAGTAGAACATTTAAAAAATATTCTAAATTCGCTAGACCATACTAACTTCTGTAGAATGAATGCTTCACCTGATGTCAGCAAAATACACATTCTTCTTGAGTACACAAGAAATATTCTCTAGGAAAAACCATGTGGTAGGAATGAACAATTTAAAAGGATATCAAGAAAACATTTTCATTACAATAATATCAAAATGAATAACAGTTTAAGAAGATTTTTAAAGAGAAGTGCAAATCTTGTGCACTAGAAATTATAAAGCATTATTGAATGAAAGAGAAGACCTAGAATAAATAGTGTTCGTGGATAAGAGATTGCGTCAGTCCCCATCAAAGTTCCAGCTGCCTCTTGCAGAAACTGTCAGGTTGATCCTAATATTCATACAAAATGTCAGAACAGCCAAAACAATATTGGTCAAGAATAGACAGACATTCTGGATAAAGAACACAAGTTCTTATGGTTACAGTTTCAGATGTTAGAACTTATTACAAAGCTAAAGTAATAAAAGATTATGTAGAGTTGTCATATTGAAAAACATACATTATCAGTGGCATAGAATGCAGACTCTAGAAATAAAGTTTTACCCTTGTAGTTAGTTGTTTGTTGCCAAGTGTATTACAGAAATTCAAGACAGAAGAATACTCTTCAGCAGCTAGTGTTGGAACAACTAGATAGCTATATGCTAAGGAATGCATCTGGTTCTATTTCTTACACTGTATATAGAGATTGATTCAAATGGAATATAGATTTATATTTAAGAGATAAAACTATCAAACACTTGGAAGAAAACATTCAGTAACTCTATACATTTAAGCCAGAACTCCTATAGATACCACATAATTGGATCTAGATTTTGCTACTGTGGTGGTTGTTTTAATGGGACAACATGTGTTTTTTTAATTGGATTGTTTTATCAAATCACATTTAATGGTATTATTGATATGGATGGCATTGTGGTCTGAACTGGGCCTTCACAAAATTAATTTGTTAAACTCCTTAGACTCAGAACTTCAGAATTTGACTATATATGTTGATGTAGTCTTCAAGGAGGTAACTAAGTAGACCTGGATATTTTAACTATTTATTGGTTGATCATGTATTCAAGGAGGGCCACGTAACAACTGTTGCTGGATTCCAAGTCTCTAGGTCATTCCACTATGCATTCAGCACTCTAGATCTGAAAATTTTTCTTAAATTGCCATTTCCATCATGGCTTCCATTTGCATATAGAGCAAAGATGCGACATCCTCAGACCATAGCTATGTAAAGATCTCATGAATATCAAATACTGGAGCCATCTGTAGACCATCAACAATCACATGTAACTTGAACTGGGTTTACATGAATATAAGCATAATTCATTCTATTGTGCCTGATACTGTGTTTTTTTTTTTTGTTTTGATAGTTTGTGGCAACTCTACATTGAACAAGTCTATCAGTGCTGTTTTCCAATATGGTGTGCTCACTTCAAATCTTTGGGTTACATTTTGGTAATTTTGCAATATTTACAACTTTGTTATTATTATATCTGTTGTGATATGTGATCAGTGATCTTTGATGTTACTTTTATCATTATTTTGGGCTTCAATGAAACATATAAAATTATAATTAATAAATGTGTTTGTTCTGACTACTCACTGGCCACTTCCCCAGCTATCTCCCTTTTCTCAGGCCTCCCTATTCCCAGAGACACAATAATATTGAAATTAGGCCAATTAATAACCTTTTCATGAAAGGAAGAATTGCATGCCTTTTGAGTTAAATTAAGAAATAGAAATGATTAAGCTTAGTGAGAAAGGCATGTCCAAAGCTAAGATGGGCTAAAATTGAGGCCCCTTGTGCCAAAAAGACAAATTGTGAATAAAAAGAAAAAGTTCTTGAAGAATGTTAAAAGTGTTACTCCAGTGAACACAGCACAAATTATTTAAAAAGCACATTCTTATTGCTGACTTTGAGAAAGTCAGCAACATTCTATGAAGGCTGAGAGAGTTGAGGAAACTGCCTAAGAAAAGTCTGAAGCTAGTAGAGGTTGATTTATGAGGTTTCAGGAAAAAAGCCATCTGCATAACATAAAAGTTCAAGATAAGGCAGCAAGTGTTGATGAAGCTATAAAGTTATCTGGAAGATCTAGCTCAGATAATAAAGGTAATGACACTAAAACCTGGATGACAGCATCTGTTTATAGCATTGTTTGTTGAATATTTTAATCCTATTTGTTGAGACCTACATATCATAAAAAAGATTTTTCAAAAACATTACTGCTCATTGATGATGCACCTTGTCACCTAGGCATACAGATATATGCAAGATTTATGATTTTTTTCATGCCTGCTTCTAACACAAAATCTGTTTTGCAGCCTAGGGATCAAAAAGTAATTTCACTTTTAAATTCTTGTTATTTAACAAATAAATATCACAAAACTATAGCTGCCATAATAGTGATTTCTCTGATGGATCAGGGCAAAGTAAATTGAAACCCATCTGGAAAGAAGGGTACACCATTTTAGATGCCATTAAGAATATGTTTTTGATTTAAGGGAGGAGGTCAATATATCATTATTCACAGGAGTTCGGAAAAAGTTGATTCCAACTTTCAAGGATAACTTTGAAAGGATCAAGAATTTGGTGGAGAGAGTAACTGCAAATGCAGTACAAATAGCAAGAGAACTCAAATTAGAAATGCAGCGTGAAGAGGTTACAGAATTGCTGCAATCTAATGATAAAAGTTGAAAGGATGAGGAGTTGTTTCTTATAGATCAGCAAAGAAAGTGGTGTCCTGATATGGAATCTACTCTTGACAAAGGTGCTGTGAACCTTGTTAATTTGACAACATAGGGTTTAGAACAACACATAAACTTAGTTGATAAATAAGCAGCAGGGTTTGGAAAGGGTGACTACAATTTTAAAAGAAGTTCTACTGTGGGAGTAATGCTGTCAAACAATATTACATAGTATAGAGAAATCACTCATGAAAGGAAGAATCAAATCAATGTGGCCAACTTCATTGTAGTCTTATTTTAAGAAACTGCCACTTCTTCAGCAACCACTGCCCTGATCAGGCAGCAGCCATCAACATTGAGGCAAGACCATTCACCAGCAAAAGAATATTACTTGCTGAAGGCTCAGATGATTGTTAGCATTTTTTTAGCAATAAAGTACTATTTTATTAAATAATGTATATTTCTTTTGTAGACATAATGTTATTGCTCATATAATAGACCACAGTATAGTATAAACAAAACATTTATATACATTGGGAAGCAAAATATAAGAAAAAAACCTGTGTAACTTGCTTTTCTGTGATATTAGACTTATTTAAGAGGACTGGAACTGAATGCAAAATATCTTTGAGATATGCCAGCATGTGGGTTTTTGGTAACTCTCCCTCTTGTCAACCTTGTCATAAGCAAGGCCAAGTATGTTCTTAAATACTGACTTCTAATATGCATGATACGTGGATAGAGTTTTTAAAAGTGGATAGGCCAGAGCAAGCTTTGTTGTAATCACTCCCATCTCAACCACCCAGGTATCAGCTGTGGAAATAGCAGACACAATAAGATAGCACTATGATGAAAACGTGTTTATTTTCATTACTAGGGTTCCAAAGACTTGGGTGAGTAAAAGTACTAACATTAACAAGGCAAACTCAGCAGAGAAGAGTGTGTCCAGGTTGAGTTGGAGAGATGGTCTGGTTTAATTTTTGACTCTGTCGTAATTGCTGGATCAGTTCTAGACATTTTCCAGCTGCCTCTAGTTTTTGAACTTGCAGACATAGGAGAACTTGTCTTCACAAGGCACATCCCTCCATCTCTTGAATCCTATAAGTCAATGAGAAGAGTTTGAGATGAGAGAACAGAAAGATTGTGACCCTCCTGGCTTTAGGACTCAGGACAAAAAACAAACATCCATTTCCTGGATGAAGAGCTACCTTTCCTCTATCCCAGTACCAGTCCCATCCTTAGAGCTAAGCAGCAGAGAACAGAAACAGGTGGTTGGATTCTCTGCCTCTTACCTGAGCTTGAGGTCAGGCTCACACAGTAGCCAGGATTAGTGCTGCTTGGGGCTCCAATGTCCCAGGATTTGTAGGAGACATGGGACCCACTGCTCCAGTGCCAGCGGCGGTTCTAGTTGGGCAAGATCCAGAACAGAGGCAGTGGTCACTCAAAAATCAGTAGAATCACTGGGCCTGTGTGTACACTCAGAAACGTGCCCAAACACATGAGAAGAATAAACCTTGTTGTCTTGCTGAATATTGTTTCCTTTCCTCTACTTTTGCTCTCAACTTCTTCTTTCCTGAACTGTCCAAATCACTACCCCTGTTTCACCGAGAAATAAACGTTTCTAATTTGACATAGAGATCCAGAGTAGCTCACTTAAAAAGTGGTTCTTGAATTTTTGTCTTTGAGGCCCACAACCCTCATACCCAGCATAGCATTGGCTGGCCATTAGTTGTTGTTATGCTATTTAGTATAATACCACGTTCCCAAATGCCAGCAGTAGATTCTTTACCATGAGTGAACACTATATAGTCAGCAATCTAGTCTCTCTTATTATGCTGACAATAACAAAATAGGTAAGAAGTTGGTGCATAAGGATGTTCTGTTGACTGTAGACAGAATGAGTTTATTCATGGATGCCCAGGACACCTAGAAAATTCAGCCTTCCACTTGTATCTCCAAACATCTGCAGTGTACCTTGCTACGCAGAACATTATAGGATCTGTAAGCAGACTGATTTCTGGAAAATGATAAAAACTGGTACTTAAGAGACCAGAGCTTGAACCTCATTCTTACTTCTCAAACCTGATCATTAGGAGATAAAGAAGGCTGCAGCCTACCTTTTTGGGGTCACGGAGGCCAATCCAGACATTGAAGTCATCAGTGCCCCTCTTCTTAATCAGTGAGGCTACAAAGGTGCCCTCAGACTGGGTGAGCACAGACACCAAGTTGCCCGAATTCATGTTCTGGCAGTAGAGCTGTTGGGGAAGAAAATGGAGCACTCAGTGGAGGAGGAATGTGTGAGGATTATACTGAGTCCTTTAAGGTGATATGTCAGAAAAAGGACACATAGTAATGTCCCTGATGATGCTGTCATCAACCACCAGCATCTTTGTGCTGGGAATGTGCTGAATAATGGGATAAAGTAGATTGGAAAGTTTGGGGCTGATGATCGGGTAGCGAGGGGTTCAGTTTTATGTCATTGCAGCCACTGAACACACTGGAGAGTGGCAACTTCCCCTCCCTTCATGAGCCTCCCTTCCCACGCTGCCCTCCTCACTCACATCTGCATCAACCCAGGTCTCACGGTCTTCATTAAAGTAGTAGCAGTAGGAGCGATAGGCATTGGTGCCTTCTGGGCAGCTGATCCGGGCCTGGGGCAACCCTGTCTGGGCCTCTTGGCCTGAAAAAGAAGAGACGATTAAAAGAGGGTCTCAGGGTAAGGTAAAGGCTGGAAGGTGAGGTGGAAGATTCTGAGGTTTCTCTTTTTTTTTAAATTGCATTTTAGGCTTTGGGGTACATGTGAAGAACATGCAAGATTGTTGCATAGGTACACACATGGCAGTGTTATGTGCTGCCTTCCTCCCCATCACCTATAATTGGTATTTCTCCCCATGCTATCTCTCCCCAACTCCCCACTCCCTGCTGTCCCTCCACTATTTCCCCCCTGCAGACCCCAGTGTGTGATGCTCCTATATATAGGAACAGAATATAGTCTATTATGGGATGACTGCTCCCTTTTGTTCCTGTATCCTATATCTTCTCTCTTTGGTTTCTTTGATCAGGGTAAAAACACAGAATGGATAGGCTAAAGAAACATGTCTCCAGTTTCCCTTTTATGTCTGGGACTCGGGATCTTCTGCCTTGAAGGACTCAGGCTTCTACTTTTCTCACACAAGCCTCTCCCTGGTTTCCCTGAACACAAGGCTCTCCTCAGTTCTCCACCCCGTTAGTGACTCTCTACACACTGACATCCCCAAATCCACCATCATGTATAAATTTAATCAGATAAACTCAGCCAACTGTGGCAGTGGCTTATAAGGGGTTATTTTAAATTCTAGCTCAAACTCCTAAATGGGATGTGGATGTGGATAAATGTGATGAGATCAGCAATAAAGATCACTAAACACCACAAAACAATCCTTAATGGTGATTCTACTCTCTCTCTCTCTCTCTCTCTCTCTCTCTCTCTCTCTCTCTCTCAGACCTATAAGCTTGGGGATAGAGTGAAGGCTTCAGGGCTAGACAGGGTTGGTTGGTAGAAAAGAGATCTTACCTTGGCTCAGAGACAGGAACATCAGGCAGGAGATCAGCATGAAGTATGAGCTGGTCTGAGCCATGCTGCGCTGCAATGAATTTCTTGCTTAAGAGGCAAATCAACAATCTCATGAGATGGCAACCACCTGGAGCCTGTTTGGGGAGACCACCCTTTACCTGCAACTTTTGTTTTTAATAATAAAAAAAAGATGTCAAAAAAAAAAAATAAGCTTCTTCTCCGATAAAACACCAAATGGCGGATGACGCCGGTGCAGCGGCGGGGCGGGGTGGGGGGGGGGGCGGAGGCCCTGGGGGCCCCGGGATGGGGAACCGCGGTGGCTTCCGCGGAGGTTTCAGCAGCGGCATCCGGGGCCGGGGTCGCGGCCGTGGACGCGGCCGGGGCCGAGGCCGCGGAGCTCGCGGAGGCAAAGTAGAGGATAAGGAATGGATGCCTGTCACCAAGTTGGGCCGCCTGGTCAACAGAGAAGGAGGTTCTGAGAGGTGGAGAGCAAAGCTTCTATTACCTTCCTTAAAACCTCCTCTCAGAATTTCTGAGACCAGGAAGGTCCTCTGAGACATCCAGAGCTTCAGATGTTTCTTTTGAGAGTTTGGGGATTATACAGACTTAGTAATCGAAAAACAACCCTGGATCCCACTGAGGCTTCATTACTGCTAAAATCTCCTGGACAGAAACTCATGCTGTATTTCCCCCAAGATTTTAGAGTGCATGTCAGAGGTGCCTTCTTCCTGTAATGCCCACTTACCTGTTGGCTGAATCTGAGGTGGTTTCTCAGGCCAAGTAGCTGTAGGAGCTTTATATTAGGATCAGAAAGATAAGAACCACATCATTCAAACAAAAGGGGTGGAGGCAAGGATTGAGTTTCGGGGCCTAGACAGGGCATTGACGGCATTGATTCTGGCACCAGTAGAAGCCTCTTCCTGGCACACACTGGGAGTGGTCACAAGTCAGGTCCCCTTCCAGCAAATACTTTGGCAAGCTATCTAAGTCCAAGATGGACTTTGCTTTTGCTCAGCAGAAAACAACTGAGGGTTCACATGTCCTCTAGCAACCCAGAGGGAGCAGAGAAGAGCAGATTTCCTTCTACTCCCTATAAATTTGGAGGCTCCTCTTTGCTGTCAGTCATGGCGAAAAGTTGGGAAGGAATTTACTGATTCCAAATAACGTAAAACAATGTGCTGTGGCATTAAGTGGTTCCCCCATGTCTTTTTCGGCTCACAAACTTCTCAAGATGTACCTTAAGAAGTAGGTTAAATTTATATTTCTAAATATTTAACATGTCCAGAAAGGTTTGAGCTAACAAAATACAGATATCGTCAATGTGAGAATTGTAGAGAGCTGCTGCCTAAGGAAACTTAAAGAAGCTAGCCATGTGAAGTCAACTGTTTGTTAGTATGAAGTCAATGACGGTGTGATGAAATTGAATACTTACCGGAATCCTCATAGAATAGTCATTTACAATTCAGGGAATAAATGCCAATCGGAATGCAAAATTAGGAAGAAAAAACTAACCTCAATGCTCACAGAAAGAGAGATGAGTATATGAATTGGGACAAATGGATCAACAAAATATAATAAGATACTAAACAGAATTTAAATTGAATAAAGTAGATATCTATATTTCAACTTGGACTAGTAGCAAAACCATAGCATTGAATATAAAATTCAGTTGCAGGAAGTTACAAGCTTTTTCATTAACTTTATGTATGGTTTTAAAAGACAGATTAATACTAAATTTTGTTTATTAATCAATTCTCATATAGTTTAGAAAATAAAAATCTGACATATAAGAATATATATTACAATTTTTCATAATATTTGCCTAACAATTTCTAAGTTTTTTTTTTCTCTGTATAAAAACTAATGGTGGGCCTGTTGTGATGGCTCAAGCCTGTAATCCTAGCACTTTGGAAGGCTGAGGTAAGAAGATCACTTAAGCCCAGGAATTTAAGGCCAGCCTGGGCAACATAGGGAGACCCCATCTCTCTCTCTCTCTCTCTCTCTCTCTCTCTCTCTCTCTCTCTCTCTCTCTCTCTCTCTCGCTATATATATATATATATATATATATATACATCTCCAGGTATACATATGCATATGCCTGTAGTCTCCGCTACTTAGGTCGCTGAGTTGGGGTATTGTTTGAGCTCGGGATGTTGAGGTTGCAGCGACTTGTGGTTGTGCCACTGCACTGCAGCCTGGGTGATAGAACGGGAAACTGTCTCAAAAAGACAAAAACGAAAACCAATGATATTAAACAAAGATGGCAAATGTTAGCATTGTTTATTCTCACTGTCTGATTCATATGTGTTTTTTAAAATTAATCCAATTTATTTCTGCTTTTACAGAAAGTATTTATGCCTTTTAAAATGATTACAACCAGGGAATGATTTCTATTTTTCTATAAATATTACCAAGGGATATAATAAGGTAAGAGTCCAGTATACTTGATACCATGACATATTTATCTTGTGAAAATTAAACAAGCAATTATTTTTTTTAATTTAAGACAAAAATACTTCACGGCATCAGATCTTCTTTTCTTTTTTAACTTTTATTTTAAGTGATACAAATCCAAGTTTATTACATAGAGAAACTTGTATCATGGGGGTTTGCTGTACAGATCATTTCATCACCCAGGTACTAAGCCTAGTACTCATTAGTTATGTTTACTTACCCCCTTCCTCCTCCCACATTCCACCCTCCAAAAGACCTCAGTGTGTGTTGCTCCCTTTTATTTGTTCCATTGTGCTCATTACTTAGCTCCCACTTATAAGTGAGAATATACAGTATTTGATTTTCTGTTCCTGTGTTCATTTGCTAAGAGTAATGGCCTCCAGCACCATTCATGTCCCTGCAAAGGACATTATCTCATTCTTTTGTATTCAACACTGAATACTTAGAAACACCTACTCTATCAAGACCCCAGTTATTTAATGTATTTACTTGAGTATATAGTTTTCAGAGAAGTTGTAAGTTCCTTAAATCCACAACAGATGCTGTTTTCCTGTGGATCCTTCCTATTATAACAAGAGCTTTGATTTTGAACTAAGCAGAGGGCAAGGGTACAAGCTCAGAGGCCCTACGGATAGCTCTGACACAAGGAAATTCTGGTATTGGGTTGGGGGCCCTTCTTCCTGGCACACCCTGGGAGTGGTTACAGATAAGGTCCTCTTTCACAAACAGCTTGTCAAACTGGGCATATCAAAGCAGCAACCAGGTGCCCAGTTCCCATGGCCCTCAGCAGCCCATGAAGAAGCAGGGACCTTCCAGGAATGGTGATAATGGGTGTGAAGGGAGGAGCCTGGGGAGGAAGGGCAGGGAGTGTGTGAACCTGGAGCAGGCCTATCTGTGGGACAAGTGACAAGGGAGGCAGCAGGACAAGATGTGGAGCATCCTTCTTGGGGCAGTGGGGAAAGGAGGGACACAGTTCATGGCATGCTAACATCATTTACCATGGAGGCTCCTCTCCTGACCAGGTATGTCCCAAAAGAAACCTGAGGAAAGAGAAACTCCCAAGGAAGAAGATCAAGGGTTCTGGGGACTGCACCTTACATCGCACTGCCAAGAAGTAATAAATCAACTCTAATGCCTCTTTAGGACTGTTGCTAGATACATTGAGGAGAAAAAGGAGGAAGAGCGTGATGATAGTGATGATGCGTTCAACAAGGCACTCTTAACACTGTTGACTTTCTGCTAAGCACGTAACACTAATGATTAAAGCTTAAACTGTAATTCTCTGTAATCCCAGCACTTTGGGAGGCCAATCACGAGGTCAAGAGATTGAGACCATCCTGGTCAACGTGGTGAAACCCCGTCTCTACTAAAAATACAAAAAATCAGCTGGGCATGGTGGCGCGTGCCTGTAATCCCAGCTACTCAGGAGGCTGAGGCAGGAGAATTGCCTGAACCCAGGAGGCAGAGGTTGCAGTGAGCCGAGATCGTGCCATTGCACTTCAGCCTGGGTAACAAGAGCGAAACTCCATCTCAAAAAAAAAAAAAAAAAAAACCTATAATTCTCTATGTACCTTCAAATATACCCTTTCATATAATAGTTTAGAATATTTATATTATTCCATTTGCAAAAACATGTATATTACAATTTTTATGCTCTGAGAAATATTTTTACATGTGTTAAATATGTTAACTTTTTAAAAATATCTCTACATATTGGGAGGCTGAGGTGGGTGTATCACAAGATCAAGAGATCAAGACCATCCTGGCCAACATGGTGAAAACTTAATCTCTACTCAAAATACAAAAATTAGCTGGGCATGGTGGTGCACACCTGTAGTTCCAGCTGCTAGGGAGGCGACAGGAGAATTGCTTGAACCTGGGGCGGAGGTTGCAGTGAGCCAAGATCACGCCACTGCACTCCAGCCTGGCGACAGAGCGAGACTCTGTCTCAAGGAAAAAAAAATCCCTACATAGAAGAGAGATACTTTAGTCAGAAAAAAAGCTTATCCACAGAAAGTTGGATTAACTTGCCCAAGGTCACATATTAGCCACAACATGAGGCATAGCCAGAATTCAGACCCAATGTACCTGACACCAGGGTCTATGCTCTTTATTTCTCTGTTCTATTGCCCATTCTGCAGAAGTTCTAAAATTCTGACACAACTGGTAAGAATGAAAAGTTTTTGGTAGATGGGATCACATATTGTTCCACTCCCTCTCATAAGGAGACAGGTATTCAGATAATTTTATTGTCTAGTTTACACACTAAAATTGGATCCCTTCTCTCTAAAGAGAACCACTATCCAACAGTGATCAAACAAAATCCTGCAATTCCAGTCCACTTCCCAGTCTGCGCTTCCTTCCTCCACTTTGCCCCTCCTTTCCCTGCGGACTCCAGCAGCTATTTTACTTTGTGGTCATTTTGTAAAAGCTTCCCATCCACAGCCTCATCTCCACATGAAAGCTGGAGTTATACCGCATCCTCTGAGTGTCTATAGTCTCTCAGTTTCCTTAACCACCATCCCACTTCCTCCATTTATTATGCACTTCACAGAGAAACAGAGTCAAACTCAGTTTTGTGAATACCTTGTCTCTGCGTCCTAGTCTCTGGGCCAGTTAACTAATCAACTGAGGTTGCTGACGGGGTTTGATTTATTTTTGTGAGACTTCTAAGGAGGAATTGCTCTGTCAGGGACTGCTACCAACTTTCTATTATAAGCCTATGGACTGGAGGGCAAAATTTGGTTTAGGGAAAGCTCCAACAACTCTGATCCTTGACTTCGGAGTGAATTATCTTTGGGAGGAGTATTGGATTCCTGAACCCTAAAACACGAAAAGCTAAACATATAGCCATGGTCAGAGCCATCATCTGTCGAACAACATTGGACTTTTAAAACACACATTGATATTAGCTTCAGGACTAGCACAAATATGAACTGCCCTAAAATCTGAGAGTTAAAGAATAGAAGTGGAGTTTGGAGCCCAGATTTTATTCCCTCTCATGTGAAAAGATTGTTTCTTCAGAGGAACAATGGCCTACCTCAAAGATGTAGTAAATCCACAAATCTAAACTGAACCTATAATGGACGTCTTGCTATGGAATTAGAAAAAATGTAGAAATAGAAGCCGAATAAACCTTAAAAAAATACCAATATGTTAATTGAGATGACTATTAACCAGAATCCAGATAAATCAAAAAGGAAAACAAAAGAAAGTTATGTGTTTCCTCCAAAACTTTTGTTGAAATTTGATTGCTCTTGCAATACTACTAAGTCATGTTGCCTTAAAGAATTAATTGTGCTATGAGGCCTCTGTTCTTATGGGGGGGATTAATGCCATTATAAAATGGCCCCCTTTATTTCCCTTTCCTTTTCTTGTCACTCAGTCTTTCACCTTGAGATGACACAGTAAGAAGGCCATTGCAAAGTGCAAGCACCAAGATACTGAACTTAGTCTCTAGAGCTGTGAGAAAATCAATTTCTGTCAGTTACAAATTCCCCCATCTCAGGTATTTTGTTCTAGCAGCACA